TTGATTATATGAAACAAATATAACTTATAAATAAAGGACACTTTATGAACCCTTTCAAAAACAGCATAAAATTTTTTTTAAGGTAATATTACATTTAGTGCTGCAAATGCGATGTAAGTGATATATATTGTAAAAGACTTATAAAATTTAAAAAATAGTAACTACGTAATGTAATTTTTTTTTTCTTAAAAAAAGGAAGAAAATGGCAATTTGAAATAAAAGAAGAGATATAGGAGAAAGATTACAAAATTTTGTGCCCGAGATGCTATGGAAACGTGTTCCAATCCTCGAAAAAAGTTTTATAAATATTAAATAAATGTCTTTATAAATTAAAAAAATAAAATCGTTTTTTTCCCCTCCAAATTGTAAGTATAAATATTATTGAAACTTATACTTACAGCATTAAAATATAATAAAAATTGTGAGTGGATAATACTTCTGTGGCTTAGAGTACAGAAAAACAATGTCAACAACAGATGTTCCTTAATCCAGACATTCAAAGAAAAAAAAATCGAACTTTTACAAGTAGTTTAACTCAAAATCTATCTATTAATAAATAGAAAGAAAAACACATCTCGGTAGTTGGCGCTATTTGCTGAACGCAATGAATGTTACGTGATGCACACAAAATTATTTACTTATCGCAATTATTTTTCAGTAAACTTAAAAAATTATGTTCCCAATAACATTTGAAATTTTAACATTAGTTGTTTTTTTATTACATATTAATTTTAATAATAATGCATTAACGAGTATTTAAAAAAACAATATTCACTTTTTTTTGTTTCCAAAAAAATCAGTGTGCATATTAAATGCTTTGTTATAAAACAATAGTAATAAAAACAACAAAATATTATAAATTCTAATTTATAACCTTATAAGGAGGGAGAGCCTTTTGCCTTATAAGGCAAATGTCCCTCTAGATCTACGTTTACACCGATGCCACCTTGCTCTATTTAATGAGAAATTTTTTTCTAATGGTAGCAAAATACACGTTTTAAAGTTTGATTCTTGGTTTATGTAAATTTGATATAAAAATATTTTTTCCGCCACTACGTATATATAATTCGAAATTTCGTGTGAAACACTATTTCATTCCAATTATCTCGTGGTAAGCATTTTAAATTTTACCAAAATCATCTAAAACTGGTTTTGGTTTTTCACTCTCTACCACTTAATAAAGTATTTCAGTGAAATCTTAGCAGTTGGCATCCCTGCATATAGACACCATTTCCAGAAAATATAGCTCTGACTAATAATTTAAGTACAATGCATTTAATTAAATATTTAGGAAATGATTACTTACAAACAATAGAGAAAATCTTTGTAGTACGCGATGTCCACTTAAATAGTTGAATAAACTGAAAATGTAAAAGCCCAGAAGCTGTAACGATCCGATCAAAATAGATTATAAAAATTCAAAACAGACTTTGAATATTTGATTTTCTTGAAATTGTGAAATAACAATTAAAACGAGCAGGATTTTTTATGAGTGTGAGCTTGTCTTGTCATTCAAACCGTTTATGAGCATGAGCACCAAGTTATACTTACCTCTATCTTTATTTTTCAAAATAGTGGAGTGTATTCATTGTTAAATCGTTTCATTGGTTAAAATGAGTTGTCGAGCTAGGCAGAGGCACCTCCTATTTTTACTAATTCACACTTTTGTGGAGGTGATTCTCAACATGGGTGGCAAACATCTCCTTTTGTGGAAGGATTTATGCTAACTTACAACAGGGGTTCTATTTTAAATCTATTCAACAGATTCCGAAAACGTTTTTTAAAGATATCTTAACCACTGATATAGTTGAAGATTTACAAGTATTTTACTACAGAATAATTAGTCTAAGCTAGACTGGGACACCCCACACATTTCTTCGTCCTCTGGTCATCACCAAAGTTCTATCTCTGCCTAAAGAGGTTCCACCCATTTCCTCCCTGGATAATTGCCCTTTAAGAACGACTACAATCTTACAATGTGACATGAAGAGAAGGAACAAATTGTTTATCTTGTCTCTTTGCTGCTGGTTGTGAAAGAAAAAAAATCTAAATGAAGATTTATTCGGGTCTTTACTTTAAATGTTGAATGCTTTTTTTTAAACATGTCTTAGCTTAAAAATATATATATTTAATAAAATTCTTAAGTAAAAAATAAAATAAAAATCTGATGTTTATCGATTTGGAACCTTTTTAAAATAATACGCCTCTGCTGTCAGGTGATGGGTTAAGTTAGTAGCGGCGACTAGTGATGCTAATCTACGTCATTGCAAAAATTAATAATCGAAACGGCGAGATGTTTTATTCAAGCAAAATACAGTGGACTTCAAGATAGTTTACCATTCACAACTCTTTTTCCTGTTACCATCCCATGCTTTTCCAGATTCTCATTTTGTCCTTGTACTGAGTGTAGTGTGTCTACCACTACATTTCACTAGTATATAAGACAATGTCAACCTTCATTTATAAAAATGTACCCCACCATAGAATCGAGTTAACATGTCTTATATACTTGTGAACTGGAATTTTGTAGTGGTAGACACACTGCAGTCCCCACACTGAGCAATGTGCTCATTTCTTACAAATTTCACTTCCTTTATGTCACCTCAAGGTTTTACCCTATGTCCCTGTATTTTCATGATGAATGGGTAAAGGGACACTTGGTCTCAGACACACAGGCCAAACCATTAAGATTGATTGATTTTGGTTCAACTTAAAAAGATGCTGCGGGTGTGACTTTATATGTCACTTCCGCAACAGGAATGTTGGTACACCTTCAATGCTTTAAACTATAATATGAATTTTTTGTTTGGGTCTGTACTTCAAAGTTAACTTTTTTTGAATACAAAGTTTCAAAACTGACAATCCAAGACATTTTTGTGTGAAGAGACAGATGTATTTTGCTATTGTTCTAAAAGGTGATTTACCCGTGTAGTTACTTTACGTAGTAGCGTATACTGGGCTGGTTCAAGAGTCACTGCCTGGTATACCGTAAAGTAACTACACTGTAAAATCGACTCTAGACAATATCTGTATTTTTTTGTTACGGGTGTGAAAATAATTAAGTGTAAAATTTAATATGCTTATTTTATGCAAGAAAGATTAGGGAACATTTTTTAAATCTTGTAATGTGAAATTTAAAGCCCTATTTATTTCTTGATACTTAATGTTTTTATCTCATACAATTAGATATCATCTTGTTTTGATACACGGTAAGCGTTTGATGCAAATCAGAAATGATGTTTAAAGGTAATTTAAATGTTGTGTGTCCTGATCTACCACGTTCTAAGAAAGCGGATGCTATACCTGATGAAGCTACGATAATAGCTATAAAGCCTTCACTGCGTAATTTTGAAAGTAGAAGGTTTAAAAGAAAAGTTTTTCCTGTGCCACATGAAGCTTCTAAGAAAATATTTTATCATTTTGTGTCAATAAAACCATGTTTTTTTATTTATAGATTTCCCAGTTTGGATGTTTTTACAATGTTTCAGAATTGGGGCTTCTGTGCCTCTCAATTCATAAGATTTTTCAGTCTATAGTAGTGTCATGCTGTAAATAATTGTGGTATAATTTATGTCTGGTGGGTAAATTTTTAGCGAACTTTTTGAATATCTTTTGGTATGTCCATGCTTAACCCAGAGCTGTATATGCGTAATGCAATTGATTGATCGTCCAATAAGCTTCAAACAGCTCTTGGTTTGTATTCCACTGTCCTTATTGGATTAATACCCCCGAAAGTATATTTTGTTTGCGTTTAATAGGCTTTATAATTCTGCAATTCAGAAAGACTTTCCTTTGGATTATAAATCGGCAGGAAAAAACTAAAATAGAAAGTGCAAACGATAAAAGACAGGTTTAAGTAAGAGAGAAAACTGAAATATGAGTTTGTGTGTTGACCTTTGTTTCAAAATTTTTCACACTGATCTAAATTTACTAAGACATGGAATTATCTCAATTTGCGTTTTTATTTATCATACTTGCGAAATCTCAAAATATTCGAACATCAGCTTAGACATGCAACGTGCACAATTCACAGAGCAGTGATCCAAATCAATGCTTCTGTTTTCGAGTCATTAGCCAACATCAAAGCAGAAAGACTTTTGCTGATATATATATACACTATCTGGCTATTAATGACTGGACACCCCTCATTTTGGATACATGAGGTGCTAGCATCAAGTCAGTAGGGAGTAGGGCCGCCACGCGCCCGAATCACAGCCTTAACCCTTCTAGGAAGGCTATCCACTAGGTGTTGGTACACGGCAGCAAGTATTGCCCGCCATTCCTCCTGTAACATGGCGAAGAGTTGAGTGGTGGTTTTGGGGCGTTTTGGTCTGACCCTCAACCGGCACTCTAACTCATCCCAGAGATGCTCAATTGGATTGATGTCGGGACTTTGGGATGGCCAGTCAAGCTCTTGCACCCCCATTTTATCAAACCAGTCCGTGATGGCATGTGCTTTATGAATGGCAGCGTTATCGTGTTGAAACACAAACGGGCCATTACCGAACTGTTGTCACAGGGTGGGAAGCGCCGAATTGTCCAGGATGTCTCTATACCCTTCTGCGTTCAGGGTTCCACGCACTAACACCAAGGGTCCAAGGCCAAACCATGAGAAACAGGACCACACCATAATTCCTCCACCGCCAAACTTCACAGTGTCCGGCCATTAATGGCTAGATAGTGTATATATAGAAAAAGAGAGATAAAATTTAATGTTAGCTACCCATGCAGATGTTTCAATATTACAGTAACATTCCAATTTCTTAAAACTAGCAGCAGTCTAAGTCTTTTTAACAAATATGTAGTTATCTAGGGTTAAATGTCTGAAAATGTGTAATAAATGAATAAGAATTAAACTTGTCAGGAAATGGATTCATGAATATAATTTTTTTTAAATACTAACTGATAATAGTATGGAAAGATGAATATCTTTGTACTTACCAAAATCATGTGGATTAAAACAGTTTGCTCTGTTTGGTAAATAAAGAACCAGAGAGGGATTTGTATGTGAATATTTTATTTTATTAAGATGAAAGGTGTTAAAATGGCACACAGATTTAAGACTCCATGTAATAATGTACAGATATTCTAGATCTTGACTACAATGGAGGGAAAAGGATTTTTCTAACAGTGTTTTCTTAAAGATACACATTCAATAAGCTATAACCTATATACAAAGCTTGAAAACTTTACAATTTCAAAACACAGAAGTATAGATATATACACACTAATTACACTGTTGGGGCGCAGGTTGCACCAAGCAACTCATTTTCTCTATACATATTGCAAACAAAGTCACTAAAACAGTCACCATAATCCACAATGAATACACATATAACTTAACTATGAGTTGCACATTATGCAACCATGTTGATCACTAAAAATGTCAAAGTCCACCATTAGGAAAGTCAGTCAGAATATATAATTTAAATCCCACATAATTTTTTGATCTAAAAGAAATTGACTGACCCTGTGCAATAAAATAAAAGTAAAATGTCTTTATATCTAGTCAGATCTAACAAGTAAAAGCATGGATATTACATCAGCATAAAATCTATCTGGTTAGATCAGGTTACGTAACATCATTAAACTCTCCATTAATATTTATACAATAGAATATGAACAAGTCACTAACGTCAACATATGCAGAAACAATGGCATATAGAATGGTCAATTTCTCCTATATGATATGTGTTACTCATAACTAATGCAAAAATTGTAACAAATAGCCAGCTTTGAGAAAAGAGAATTCAAGCATTATTTAAACAAAATGAAATGGATTTGCTAAAAAGAATATGAATTAACTATTAAGTCTAATAGAATTTCTTTGTGATTTAATTATGATCAACACATGAAATTATTTGAATAAATCAATGATCTGTAAGATTTAAATGATATTCAAATAATGCAACTTTCAATAAATAAAATAGTTAGGGTGGGGTAGAGAAAAGTATAATTAAACAGGCAAGATTAAAAATTATTGATAACATTACATTATATATGCCACTGCACAAAATCCATAATCTTAAAAGATACAACTCTATATAGAACTCCCAAGCACAGGAGTGGGTCTTTCCAAGGAACCAATATTTAAATTATATACAAGAAATCTAGCAAGCACTTTGTTCTATGTTCAGTATTCACAAATATATAATATGCTAGCCCATTGTGAACTTAGAAGCATATTCCTAGAGCTATTTTTTTTGGAATGATTTTTCTTATTCATAAATTAAAGATCATTATTATTCCAAGTCACAAATGGGCTGGGGCATCATCATGTAGCTAAATTAATAATAAAATGAGAACTTTTCAGAGTTATTAGTGTAAAGATGAAAAAGGAATAAAATTATATGCAAAACATACATGAGCATAAAAAAAGGTAAAACATTTACGACCTAACTTTTGAAATTTACTTATCGACTGAAAGACAATTATAAAAGATCTCATTTCTTTAAAAACCAAGAGAATTTTTGTTTTCCACAAAAAATGGCATTTTAAAGTAACATAAAGCAAAATAGTTGCTACTTAAGAGGAGTGCAGGGACATTGGACTAGTTTTGTACCCATAACCACAAGTTTTCTAAGCAGCTTCCTAGCTGTGTGAGAGCGCTAAAAAGAAAATTCTGAGAATAAGGACATTCAGAGTTTTCAAGTCTGCACTCAACTATTGTGGTTGTGTTACACTTTGGGGGGAAAAGTAGAATAAAGGATTTGATTAATATAACCTATAGTATTGTGCAAGTTGAACTGCAACAACCTCCGCTCCTTTCTTTACTTTTATGCCGTTGATCTGAAAAAGAGAAAACTGTTATAAATCTAGAAAATAATATTTTGGTCAAATATTGTGATTTTTAAATTTTTGCACCAGTAATAAATAAATTATTACTCACTAGCAAAAAAAAAAAANAAAAAAAAAAAAAAAAAGTAATTGTAAAAATGTGCGCTGATATTCTAAAATTCTTTTGACTTTTCAATGAAGTTACTCCATGATGCTGTCTATATTGCAAAAAGTTTCTGGCTTCATAAAACTCTGTTGATAAGCACATCTTAATTTTCAAAATAAAAACGCTCCCCTTGAATGGTAAACTTACAGGACTCAACATTCTAATCAAATATGAAAAAACTACATAAATGGGACAAATGTTCTAACTAATTAATCAATTATGCAAAAATTTGGATCTTTTACATTTTTCACTTGTTAGACCATAGCCTGTCTGAAGCGTATAAGTTTTGATTACAAAGTTAAAGATTTGGTATTTTACGTACAGTAAAAATATCCATAATCATCTTCGAGGTAAACAAAGATCTGAACATATGTTATTAAAAAATAGCATTTAATTTATAAAAGAATATTCCAGATAAAATAAATGCAATTGATATATATTAAAACGAAGAAAGCAGACAATAATTTGAACTTCTTTTATGAACAAAGACATGTTTTTCATTTTCTTCCCAATTGAGGTGAAGAGTCAAAAGTGCAGACATTCAGATAAAAATATTAAAAAACAAGCTTCTAAGTTAGAGGGGAAAATCAATCCTACTTAAATTAAGATGATTCTTTTTAACGAAAACATTTTATTTATTTTTCTCACTGAAGTTTATTTTCTTTAACTGTTCCTGTCATTTAAACAATTCCTTCAGTGTGCTTATTACAGCAGTAAAACTTTTTTGCTATCCTTAATGCAGCAAGAGAATGTCAGAAAAAAAATATTAAAAAAAGAATGTTAAAAAGATGACAGATTTGTTTATTTTGATTGTTTAAAAGCATCCGAAAAATAGACTTTTCTAGTAACGAACATACGGATACGGGACTTCAATTGTTACATAAATTAAATATAATGTCTTAATTTTAAGATTTAAAAAAAAAAGTTGGCATGAAAAATTATTACATTGTGGCCTTATTTTAAAAATCATGTTGAAAGCTGAAGAAGTGTTTAGAACTCGTGTCACAATATAAGATTTATAAATTAATATACTACAGATTGAATGCTAGTTTTAAACTAGTCACTAGTCAGACAAAACTAGTAAGCTAGTTACTAGTTTTGTCATTTCCCCACTATACATTGCTGCAACTTTTGGGATTTTTACTGAAGACTTTTTTAGAAGTTTCAAAATGTATTAATATTTGATTTTCCGTTTAATTAATGAGATTTTTATTAGCATTATTGCGATATTAAAAATTTTCCAGACTTATTCCAACTATAACACCTTAATTTTGCTCCGAATTATCAAAAAATGAAACATTTTTCAATTCCAAAAATTTGGCAAGTAAAATTGAACAAAAAAATCAATGTGTGCCATTTTTGATGAAATTTGGGATTTTTGGAGAGCGAGATACTTTACTGAAGTAAACTATAAACCCTTTTTTCAAGAAATAATAAAACAATTAATCAAAAATATCATCTGTCTGACAAGTTCAAAAGGAACCTCCTGGCCTCCTCTCCAACTCAAAAGTTTGAGAAAGACAAATTATTTCTAGTCTCAAAATGAACCAGACATATATTGGTGTCTGAGTTGAGAATCGCCACTTTCTATGACTGTCTCCTGAAACGATTAATCAAATATATCATCTGTCTGACAAGTTCAAAAGGAACCTCCATGTTAGAACAACTCAAAAGTTTGAGAAAAACAAATTATTTCTAGTCTCAAAATGAACCAGACATATATTGGTGTTTGAGTTGAGGCTCGCCACCTTCTATGACTGTCTCCTGAAACAATTAATCAAATATATCATCTGTCTGACAAGTTCAAAAGGAACTTCCATGTTAGAACAACTCAAAAGTTTGAGAAAGACAAATTATTTCTAGTCTCAAAATGAACCAGACACATATTGGTGTCTGAGTTGAGGCTCACCACTTTCTATGACTGTCTCCTGAAATGCACCATTTTTACAACCTTTCAAGTCCTATCTGTAGTCTATAATCTGGGATGGACGGGTCACGAATAGTAACCACCTCATATGGTACTGAGCATTTATCATGACAGTACCATATGAGGTGGTTACTGCAGGATGTTCCGATCGAGATTCGTCACCGCATGTGGATTCAGCATGATGATGCGCCACCCCACTTCACGTTCTTTTGTGGACTGCTTTTGGAAGGAGGGATGCATAGGCTTTTGCTACAGCTGTTTCTTTTGTTCTCTCTCTAGGTTTGTTCGGTATTAATATATTTTTGTTGCTGCAGTTGTCTTTTAATCTTGCAATTGAAAAATAAATAACTATTTTTATATAATGTAATATATTTGGAAACATGACCTCACCTTGAGAATTAGGTTCAGGCAGATTTTCTCTTGGAATAAGATGCATCACAGTAGTTCTCCCAAGAGGTAATTGCAGAGCTGAAATAAGTTTTAATTCAGTTAATGGTTATTTTTAAAGTAACTTACTAATTAGTAACATTGGAAATACAAATAACAGTTTTTAGAAACAATATTATTTACATATTAAAAGAATAATATGACAGTGGTGTTATGTGTATTTTTATACACTTCAGATTATAGCTGGTTATTGCTTAAACGCTAGCTTACAAGCTTTGATTTCAGAGCAATTATAAATTTCAAATAATATTGCGTTTCTGTTTTTTATACCTATACATTATACAGTCAATAATATAATTGCATATAATTCTTTAATTTTACTATTTTTGAAATAGCAGGTTACAAACAGAAAAGATTATAATTTTTTTATTTTCACAATGCAAAATATGTATTTAATAAAAAATATCATTTGAAAAAATATTAGTTGGTATGCATATTAATTTCAGAACACAAATATTTTCATTTTTTATTTATTTTTGTCGGAGGAGACACTATCTTCTAGTTTTTGTAACCAGCTATTTGAGACAATTTGCGTCACAATCTTCGTTATTTTAAATTTGTGCAAACCTAACTCAGTGAAACAGAAACTATGAAAGTAAAAATTAGGTAATCTGAAATTAAAAAACAATCTGCAGACGCTATTATAATCTATAGCACCTGCTTCTATTATGGAGAGTTTCTGCTGCAGCTATACAAAAAATGATTCAGCACAACTGGAAATGTTGATAACATTTAACGGTAAGTAACCATAAAAATTTATAACTACATTTCCTGGTAAAAAAAAATTGGAGATAAAAAGTTATGAAGAAGTCAAAAGAATGATCTGTAGCAAAAAGGGTGTTTTCTTAAGAGTTCAAACTATCAGGTCAAAAAATTAATTTTTTAAAATTTAAAGATAATTCAAAATTTTTTACAAGTTTATTTATACTAAAGATAGAGTACAGTTCAACATGATACAAAAAACATTGCAAAGAATTAAAGAACAATTCAGACTGAATCTCACGATTTTTTTTAAAATTGATTAAAACAGGGAGACAATGATAGAGGAAAATATATATATATA